CTTAACATTGCTTGAATCGTTCGATTGGAAGTTTTTTATCGATGGAGATTAATTGGATAATCGGTCGAATCCTCAGCAATTACTTCGTTTGGATTGAAACTAAGTGATTTGATTCTAATCAAATTAGAGTCGAGCAAAAATCTGATGCAATGAACGGTAGCCATTTTGAAGTAAAATGCCAAAATCCGAAAAGTCTTGAAAAAAATTGATTGCTCAATCATGTAATGTCTCATAGATTGGGCGAAAATCATCCGATTGCTTTATAATTACTGCTGAGGAAATGTTCTGTTATGAGTGAAAAATAAAACAAAATTACTGTTTGCTCCATTTGCGGTGGCACATTTCATCAAATTAAGCGTTTCATTGCAAAGGGCACTCGTTAGCGCATTTGCAGAACAACATCGTGTGAGCAACATTTCACGCAATTTTTGGTACAGACGTTCTCTTACGTTACAATTGCCGAATACCTGAAGGATGTAAACGCTTCAATCAATGACCATTGATTGACAAGCCGGAAGAATGCGTACTTCGAACTACATTTAAGAACGATTCAATTTAAGAATTTGCTCCAGGAATTCCGCTAATCTTGGTCTTCTTTACTGCTCTAATCATCCCGGTTACAATGATCCGAAGTGACTTTCATTTATTGAAATGGAAGCTAACCTCGAAACATCAGCTAATTTATTGACTACACTGAGCTCAGAACATTACAGGACTTTGAAATTAAAACTCCTAGATGTTCCCGTTTATCAACATAACTTAAAGATGACAGCTGCCAATAATGAACTGATCGTGAGGCTGGTTCCATCTTCATTCACCTGCGAACAGGCTATGCCAAAGTTGGAAATGATTTGTAAGCCTCACACGACGTAGTGAACAATTTAACTCAACTTCGCAAAATCTAGCGTGAGCTCCATCCACCTAGCTGTATGCAAATTTTTTTCGTTTCATAGTATATCGTGCATGCAACAATTGGACTGCAACGCGTTACATTTTGTCGTGATTCGATGAATCCATTGTGCAAATTATTTCCACATGAAAGGCAAGCGCATTTCGCGATTTAGTATGATTTTTTGTTTTATTCATTTGAAATTACAGTTGAAAATTCATTATTTATTTTTTCCTTTCGATTACATTCAATTAAAGTATTCATTGTAATGAAACTGCAATTTGTTACAATTGAAAGACGGTCATTCATGAAAATCCATCAAGTAGGAAATGCTGCTTTAGATCAGAGCGAAAAAATGTGTAGAATATCGATCAAAAGCCAAAAAAATTTCTGAAAAAGATAACTGGGAGCCAAGTGAGTCATATCGAAGAGGATTACGTGTAAAAAATGAAATAATGAACTTGTCTAAAAACAATCACAATAACGATAAGATTAACGCATGCGAAATTATTTCTTTAAGTCACGTATAACCAACTCTAAGCATACCTATAAGCTTAAGCATTAGCCAACATAATCATGTACTTTTTATTCGACTGAACATAAGACACTAAATACGAGGCTTTCTTAATATATACCTATAGGCAGTTGAATCTAAATTTCATCAAAACATTAAATTTATCAACAAATCGAACTCAATGGACAGACTCCATCCCATAGAATGATGGTCCTAAGATGAAAAACACGAAAAAACCAACTGTCTATCAGCTAGTCATATGATATCCGTATGGATATCTCCGCTTAGCTCTAGTCAAGGCGGGGCAAAGCGCCCTGGACTATTATTGATTTTGGAAAACGAGTGCATGTTTTTAAAAAGATTCTTGAGTGTACGCCTAGACATTCATTGATTGGACGCAGTGTGAAGGAAAGAGGAATTTTTATTATTTTCATTCAGTCGTTCATGTGCGTATGCTTTCTGAAAGTATATATGAGAACATACACGCTGGAAGTGGTAACCTATGAACAAAAACACATCGGAAAAGATGGTAGAGTGAAAAATGCATTCGTTTCATAGGACAACTGAATGAATTCAATGCACTTTCCAATGATTTTTTGTTCATATATGTGATTTTTTGTGGCCGATATTCGATAGTGAATCTGATGGTCGCACCCTCATCACATGCTCAGAGATACGGAATCGATAATTGGGAGACTTATTTTTTTCAGAAAAGCAGTTTAATACAAGTGATTTCCGATCACTTAATTCGTTCGAATGCAGAGAAAAACAATTTTTATTGATGTTCTCATCCTGTCACTTCCTTTCGTTGTTCTCTCAGTTTTCTTTTCAAACTTTCAACCAACTGTCATAAAAAATGATTCCATACTCGCAGCTCCACACAGTTTGATGCTTGATTTTCTTAAAGGGCAAATCAATAAACTGATAAATGAGAAATCGACGTGTTCAATATAATAATATTGTGTTGAGCATATTGATATTGATTATATTGAATATATTTTCAATTTCAATTCAACACCGTTTTTTATATACAGTTTCGATTCAGCATTCACAGGTTATTATCACAAAATTTGCAACATCTCTTAAATTAATTTTGTTTACTACCAATGATGATTTGATTTCCTTTGAAGCGATACGTAGGTACACGTAGATTCAATGGAGCCGGTCCTTTGCGAATCCGGCCAGACGCATCAAAATACGCCCCATGACATGGACATTTGTAGCCACCAATGAATTCGTCAGAGTTAGCTGAAAACCTAAGTGATCAAGATCTGATCAATCGATCAAATGCTGATGATAAGAATAAGATCAAATGAAGAAAACTTCTTGAAGGAATCCCAAATCCATTGCACAATTTAATAATATGGCAAAAAAAAGGATTGCAAGCGATAAGATCTCATCAAAATTCAAATATTTGGATTAAGTTTTTACGATGCACATATTGATCTCCGGCTTTTATTAATTCCATAATCTATCTCCTATCAACATGATAAACACGTTTACATCTTCGTATAACAAAGTCATACACAGACAAATAACAAACTAGAAAGTTATTGTAGGGAAATTTTCCATTCGAATGAACGAAAACTTACGACTCGGAACACATCCGAGATGTGTACAAACACCAACTACAATCAGCCATTCAGCTCGTTTCACTCGTTGACTATCAGACTCCGGATGCCTCAATTGGCTTATATTAACCGCTTTCATTTCTTCGATCTCATGTGCTGTTCGGTGCTTGACAAACACTGGTTTTCCTTGCCATTCATACGTTTTCGTCTGCAATCTTATTCATTATCTTCATTATCAATTGCTCTGATTGTTCAGGATGACGTATGCATGGTGCTGCTGCATGGAAACCATCATCGAAAACATGTTCGTAAATTTGACCCCTATTGAGTATCAAACTTGATCAGGCACCAAGCTGACAAATAATAAATTCAAACTTTAAACTTAATGCTTTTGATTATACGCATTTACCTTGTCATGGGCATCGTATGTTTGGTTATTGTCTACATGCACTTCTATTCGTGACTACTGTTGTTGTGATTCTTTTTATTAATTGAGATAAACACTTCAATCACGTTTTATAATCTCATTTTAGATGCCAGCTTATTTGTGTTCATAACACTGGTTGAAAATCATCACTACAAACGACTTTCAATAGTACGTTTTGATCATCGGCAAGAGAGCATCGGTCCGGAAATGTGCATACTTCAAAAGTTTTTGAAGGGAGTTTACCTGTCCCTCGGGTATTTCATCCATGTTCACAATGGTAAAAGCCTGTGCCACCTGATCACAGGCCATACCTTTGAAAGCAACCATTTTTTGCACGGACTCCTTGGCGGTCATCAATGCCAACATTCCTCCTACTGAAATGTCGCTTCTTCAGATTTCAAAAAGTCGCTTCCAAACGAAGATTTGCAAAATCTTCCAATTTTGGGACCATTCGAACCAATTAGTTCCCTGTTTGTGGTTGTTCAACTTCCCAAATGATTTCGAAATTACCGTTCGTGCGATACAATTGCAGCGATTCTATCACATTAATAATTACGACTCATCCCGAGGTAGAGAGTGAGGAAATAAAATCAGGAACTCACCTCCGTAATAGATCATTTGTGGAACCACTCTGCGTTCATCTTCAGTTTCTCTTGCCGCTTTTTTGCAGTCAAGTGTGGCATCGTGACGATACTCATCGAAGTTTGGGAATCGCACGTCCGTATGCGCGAATCGACGCACAATCACTGAATATCAGCAGTGATAAAACTATAAAATACTGACAATAACAACGGATTTGACTTATTTACTTTGAAGACTTATCAAAATACTTTAGATTCATGAAAATATTCAAGGGAATTTCACTGCCTCGTGATTTTTTACCCTTTGTTGGCAAAAAGTATCTTGGCTTCTAATCACCAGCGTTGTTCGATGAGAAAAAGGAAATTTGTAGAGTTCTAAAACTTCACTGTAGTTTCTGAATGAAAATCCCTAAAAATCAGGTTTCACTATGGCGCCTACCAAAGTGTTCAGTGGAAACATAATAATCAAATATGGCGTTATAACAGAGAATAGATGTGAAACNTGCAAAGTGATCAGAATTGCCTAATCTCTTCAACTTTTTGTGCTATGTGGTGAGAGGCTCTTTAAAAATACTGAATGCAATTTTTAAATATTCTCTATCATAAAAAGTCTGTACAGAGTTTCAATCTTACGAAAGCACCTTCCAAATGACGATTGATAATAAAGCGATTAGACCGTATTAAAATGATAACTGAATTCAAAAGACAATCAAAAATCTGTTCATATGACCCCATTTCACATAGATGCATCACAAATATCTTTGATATGATTAAGTAATAAACGAAACCCATTAGATACACTAAGGATTTTCAACTCTGTTGACTTTTCTAGGTGTTTTCTTCGCTCGATATAAATCACTTGTTATTTTTCTTAACCAGAACACATTGCATCACCTGATTGCTGCAGTCATGAATGAACCGAAAGTGTACTTTTGGCTGATAAGTCATTGCAATAAATTTTCTGTTAGGATGATAATAATTGATCGACGGCAGAGTGCACATTCAACATCGCTTTAGTTATCTTCTCGTATCACTTTATCTTTTCAATCGAAATTCAAATTATCGCTCCAGTGTAATTCACACTCAGAATCGTTTCGTCAAATTACTCAATGGATTGAGAAAGCGGATGGTTTTCCTTATGTTCATGTCAGTTGAATTTCATCTTGACGATAACCGCCAACATCAACAATAGTTGATAAGTTGATAAGGTGTAAACTCTTCAAGGTAAAATTCATCAATTTTCAGCTGAGAATTGAGGAATTTGAAGAGATTCAGCTGTAATTCAGCTGAAAAATGTCAAACATTTGATTATTTTCACGTTTTCATATCTCTAAACGTTAAACCTCCATTATTCGTTACCGTATTGTCAGAGCTAAACATAGTATCGGTTCTTCCCACTAATCATATGCGATAGCCATTAAAGTTTCCTCGATGGCTGATGATTTATTTGCATGAGCGAAATTTGTGCACCCACTATGATTCTATTCTACTCAAAAAATATTCAACAATCAATCAAAGGATATTTCCGAAGAAAATGACGAGTAAAATCATACAATTGAGACCATTGAAGAGCCCATCGAAAAGAGATCTCATAGAAATGGAAACTGAAATATTTTTTCGAATGCATTGCGAATACTCCTCGTTTCGGCGCTCACTGCTTGCTGAAGAAAAGTTTCGTTGAAGATTCGACGATATAATTTCATGATTTATAGTCGTCTTTACTTTCAAAGATCTTCTCTGAAACATCAACTGAGACTTCAATAAAGAGTTTTCTCATTCCAGGCTATTAGCGATAATGATATGTTGATAGTGAAATGGTGGCATCTTATTCATGGAAACATCCAAAAATTACTGAAAATGAACTGATGCTGATTGTAAGTATAAGTCAGATTAGTAATCATCAGTGTTTTGCAAGAAATTTCATGAAAGTACCGTTAGGTTCTGAGAAACCTGCCAGAATTATTGTCGTTATTTAGGTTTTATGTTCAGCTGACATAGGGGAGGACGAATGCTCGAATTAAGACCGATGAAAAATATACTACACTCCATGATCAGTTGAATCGACTCACCGTGAAAGCAGCAGATGTGTATGAAACAATGTGCGGTTGATGGCTGGAGCCGTAAGCTCGTCTTGAGATGGTTTTCACAATAAGCACACCTGGTGCGCTAACACTAGTAACATCACCAAGCGATAATAGTAGCGCCTTTGTGGACGATTGCATTATGATCAGTCAGGAATGGAATAATAAAAATCAAGTCCTTTCTTGAGAATTTTATCGTTCACTTGATGCTATTATCTATAGTCAAAAAAGGGCTGTTATCTATAGTCCAAAAAAAATTACGGAAGCAATAAACTCTCTAAACACAATCACGAATGAATGAATCGAGCATGGAATTTTAAAGAAGTTCACGTGTGCTTCACAACAACGATACACCTCATCAAATGCTATTATTTTTTCTTATTATATAAGACCGGTTATTCTGCTTAGTCTTCTTTACCTTCTTCTCTCCACTCTTATGAAAAATTTTCGATGGTATTGTCAGTATTACCATTGATACTGCTACAATAAAGCAGAGAACACATGTTCTCCTCAAGCAAGCGTTTGATTGAAAAATAACTGTTTGGAAGAACATCTACACGAACGATAGAAGGAAGCTATGGTGTGGCTCTGCTACCCAATATTTATATCTCTTATCTTATTTATATCTTGAAAATTTTTCAAGAGTACATTTGTCAGTTGCCTTCATGTTAAAGTTCATAGGCAACAAAACAAATACGCTTGAACAATGGAACGCTATGAAAGCACAAAAAAAAGCATCTTTCGATCCATCTGGAGTACGACGATATGGGCCACTCGTTCTAGACACCCTCAAGTCCAATTTCTTTATCTCTTTTGCTCTGATTAATG